AAGCAGTGTCATTGAGGAACAGTGTTGTCACTCAAGTCAAGTCAACTGGGTGTTTAGGCATTGAAATTGACAGTGATCTTAATTGGAACGTTCATGTAAAAGAGTTAATTAAGTCCGTTTCACAAAAATGAATCTTCTCAGGTCTTTGTATTTCTTACAAACTACAGCGAGAGCCGATTTTTATTTTAAAGTAATAGTAACATCAGTTACCAATGGGTTGGTTGTATGGGGTTCCTGCAGCAAATCGTTCTTTGATGAGCTGGAGAAGTTACATGTATGTGCCGCAAAGATCATTTATGGCCTGGATTGGTACACACCAAGCGATCAGGTCTTAGCCCAAAGCAGGTGTTCCACTGTTAAAGGTTTATACAAATATAGATTACTTATGTTAGCACACGACTCTTTTTATAACTTTCTACCCGTTCCTATTATGAAACTGTTTACGAAATATGAGTGCGACTATAACTTGACCTTTTTGTTACCAAGCAAAACCAAACACTGAAGTTTTCGCAAGTTCACTTGTAATGAAGCCGTATCTCTATGGAATTCTCTTGACAATCATACGTGTGCAATCTCAAGCAACAGCTTATTTAAAAACGCAGAACTTCATGTGAATAGCATAATTTTGTTTCAAATAGGTTTCTAAATTTTAATTAGTTTTTAAGCATTTTATTCATTTGTAAACTGCATTTAACTTTTAAATACACGACCACATCAGCTCCACTGTAATTTTTGTCGTTATAAAGATAAAATAAATAAAATGAATAATTAAATAAATGTTGTTGTTGTTGTTAAAGAAAGGACAACTACACACATTTGGCGTTTATTTGGGGTACACCACTTGGCGATTGGTATAACTGCTCCTTTCCCAGGGTTGTCACCAAGATTTCAAGTTGCCGGGTAAATACAACAAGTAGGCAGGGAATCAAACAGCTACGGATTTTTTTTTGGTTCTATTTTTCGTCTATGTTACTATGAAAACTGACTGAGAAATGATCATGCTTTTGGAAAACGTAGTTGGTTTGCCTATCATACCATGTAGCAACGTGAAAAAAAACCCCTTGCCTTCCTTTTAAGTAAACAATTAATAAAAGGCACCACACAAAGTAATATCTGTGCTTATTGTGATACGAGAGATTCACAATAGGGCTGTATTAGATATTCTCAATTAAACGATCATTTTATACAGCCTTTGAAACTTGAAAGGCATTAAAATAGGGCACCCTAAATACAGTATGGGACTTTTTACGTGTTAATTAAGTATTGTATTTTCTTTTCAGTGGCCCTCTCTTTGTTGCCTCAAATTTCAATTCAATTTAAAGCTTATTTATGACATTAACATACTAGTTAAAACTTTCAAATTAATTATGGGACGTAGTGGCCCTAACAAATTAGAAATTTACCATGATAATTACCTTGAGATGATAGAGTATAGGTAAAATAAAAGCTGCAGTCTTTCCAGATCCAGTGGGAGCACAGCATAGCACTTCTCTTTTCTAACAAAGTAAAGGAAATAGTATAAATCATAATGAGTTAAAAAATATGATATATTTAATAAATGGCAGTATTTTTCTGCACAGCAAGCAGCAAAATAATGGAAGAGACCACAAAGAGGTGGGGAGGAAGCAGACAGCCTCAGCCCTTCCATTTTTTCTGTGGAAATTATCAATAATTTACAGAGGTTCATTTAAGTCATTTCAAGAGATTAAGATACCAATTCACAACAAAGATTTCAATAATGATTTTTTACATCACTAGACTTACTCAACTAAACTGGGACTGCCATTGGTTGATTCTTTGTCATGTGGCCTTCACTAAAATCAACAGCATGTGACCAGCGCATGGTGGAAAGTGACATGACAGAAGGTGGGTGAAACACTGCCAGTTTTCACTTTCAGGAATGAAATCAACAACACAAACATGGAGCCTCAAGCATGTGCTAATATACAATTGTGAAAGTACTACTGAGATACTGACTAAAAAACTAGCTCATTAGTACTTTCACAATTGTATATAAGCACATACATGCTACTTTTTTCACTTCTAAACTTGAAAATGACTGTAGGAGGGTCCAAACGTTGTTCTTTTTCAACATTAATTTTTATAGTGAAATCCATGTCAAAAAATTGGTTGAATTGAATAATTTGTAACTGAACAGAAGTAGTTATCACTAATGTTTTTAATCCCTAACGAAAACATCACATTTGGTTCTAATGTTTTCTGACTTTTAGTAAATGTATTTATGGTAACAAACCATTATACACCGATTTTGTAAGCTTGCACTTACATGCATCATAACAGGAATTGCCTGCATCTGAACAGCTGTTGGATGGTGATAACCTCGTTCTGATACATTTTTTATCAGGTAAGAAGGAAGATTATACCTAAAACACCAAGTACCGGTTAACCAAACAATATTCATTGAACAATAACAAAAAACATATTTCTATAGCACACACATTACTATTACACATCATATAAAAAGAACAAGATAATTAAGACATAATAATTATAAAAGTAGACTGTAATTATCATAAAAAATCTCCCAGAATCTTTTGAGGCAATTTTTTAAAAAGGTTTATAACTTTGACAATGTTATTTGAAAAGACTGTCAGACCACAACAAGACAACATTTGCCATAAAATATCTTCCCATGTCACATCTAGGGTAATGATGTCATCAGTCACGTGTATTTCCAAATTAGGTTTTTTTGTTGCTGTGACAAGATCTCATTAACAAGTTAAAAACAAATAGCATATTTGAGGTTTTAGTTGTGTGGGACAATTAAAAATAACCAGTTAACATATAGCATTTTACATTTAAGGGGGTAATGAACATGAGCGGAAAAGTCGGGAGACAAGGCCGAGGGCTGTAGAGAGTCAACCTTTTATCACATGGCAGAGAAAATTTGCGGGAAAGTAACGTTCTACTTGATAATTATTTTTCATGACCAAAAGAAGGACATGATATTGTCAGTCATGTGATCAAAGAGTTTTGAATGTTTTAGTTTGTTTTTAAAGCACCTTTTTTGTCATAAATTGGCAAGTTTTTGCTGTTTTTCTCAACAATTCTTTATACTGTATTGTCTCTGAGTAATTATTATTCCATTTTTAAAGCAGAACCAAACGAAAGCAAAACCAGAACCAAAACAGAACCAAATGAAAACTGAGCCAAATCGAACAGGAGACCTACACTTGAGACTTTTATAAAATCCTTTTTCAACTTAACTGTTTGTTTGGCGAAGTAAATGTTCAACATTTGTTAGTAAAGGAGAACTTTAAAAACTAAAAGGATGTATTTGGCGGCCATATTGTTTTTCTTCATTCCGGGGAGAGAGGTCATGTACCAGCTCTCCTGACCCTAAAAGCCGAATGGTTTGCTACACTAACCTAAACGATGGAAATATGATGAACAATGTTGTGTTAATGTTTTCCCTGACCGATGAAAAGACACCTTACGAGCAGGGAAAGAATTGTGTGGTCATCCGGTTCAGTCAGTAGCCGCACAATCAATAGTTCATAACCTTCTTAGAGGTTCCCTGGCATGGCCCAAGCCTGAAAGAGTATTAATGGGTTTACTGTGAACTGCACATCTAGCTTCAATCAGTTAAAGATTAAAAAAAGAAACCAAAAAGTCAATCACTATGGAGAAGGAGTGTATACCTCTTTTAAACTCAAATTGTCAGCGTTTACCGAGGTGGTCCAGTGGATAGAGGCGTTAGCTTTTAGTTCTAGCTGGGGGTCTGGGTTCAAATTCCCTTGAAGCAAATTTTTCGTAACCTAATTTTTTTTTCTTTGTTTACAATCCCTTTTTTAATCTCTTTTTACCTGTGTGGTGCATATAGGTTAGTAGCATAATGTGGTAAATTGAAAGCAAAGTTTACAGGAATATAAAAAGTGTGGTATGTATCATAGCGTATCTACCAGTATTTTTGGTAATACTGGACACTGTTATCATTACGCAGCTCAATCATAAATTTTCATATGTGCTTAATTTAATTCAAGAGGTAACTGCTCTGAGATGGGACTTCTGAATCAACTAAATTTGACAGTTTCAAATTAAATACGACTTCGTTGAATCTGCGAATGAACAGTCGAAAATTCGACTTAGGTTCAACATTTGATTTAGAAGTCACATTCCACAATGTGCCGAATATAATGCATTAGTTATAGAAACCCTTCCGGGTTATCCATATTGGATAAAAAATTTCTCTGGAAACTGGGAATTTTTACAGCAAACAGAGTTAAATTCGGCACCATCATATCCAACATCTAAATCAACTGCCTTATTTTATTACTTTATGATCGACTAAAATAGGTGTTCAACACTCACAAGAAATTCCAGATCTGAAAGGGGCCTTATATGACATAAGTTTCTGCTAATAGTGGTTTGCAGGCTGTTATTGAGTTGTTGTTTTCTTTTCAGTGAGAGTAATGCGTATCTCTCTTTGTAAATCCATTTTATTAATCAGCTTGTGCCGCGACTTTAGCCTGAATTTCATCCGACTGCTTCAAGTACACCAAAAGGACAAACTTCTTCCGGCAAAACAAGACCTTCAGGGAGAATGCCACAAAGCTCTACAGAGAGCTGGGAAAGGAAGCCATCACTATCCAGAACCCTCCCTCACTCGTAGAGGTCAAGACATTCTGGAGCAAAATATGGGAGAACGATAAGACCCATAATGATGCTGCCCACTGGATGCAAGACCAAGCCAAGGAAAACCAGTATGTTCCAACTCAGAAATGGTCAGACGTCACCACAGAGGAGACCATCAAAGCCATCCACAAGACCACAGCAACTGGAAAGCCGCAGGATGCCACGGCATACCTAACTTCTGGCTCAAACAACTGACCAGCCTACACCCTGAATTAACCAATGTCTACAACAACATCCTTAAGAACCCAGAACAGACCCCAGAGTGGCTGACCAAGGGTGTGACTTTCCTGATTCCAAAGTCCGAAGACACAGAGAACCCTAAAAACAACAGCCCTATCACATGCTTACCAGATATGTACAAGGTCCTGACCTCTATCATTACAAAAAGGGCCTACATATTTCTCGAAAGTAACAACCTGCTTCACAAAGTGCAAAGAGGATGTCGCCACAGGAGCTATGGCTGCAAAGACCAGCTCCGCATCAACAAAGCCATCCTTGAGGAGGTGAGATCCAAGCACCGTAACCTCTCCACCACCTGGATCGACTACAAGAAGGCCTTCGATAGTGTGCTCCACACCTGGATCGTCAAGAGCCTTGAACTCTACACGATCTGCTCTATTATCACCCACTTCATGTGGGAAAACATGAAGTTGTGGAAGACGATCCTCCACCTAAACCACGAAAAGGGCATGAAGACATCCAAACCTATCAAAATCAAAAGTGGCATCTATCAGGGAGACTCACTGTCACCTCGAGTCTTTTGTCTTGCTCTTGCTCCTCTAGGCTCCCTCCTGAACAAGAGTGGCCATGGGTACAACACCCCCCATGGAAAGATCAGCCTCCTCTTCTAAATGGATGACCTGAAGACCTACACAAAAAATGATGTCGAACAAACGGGCCTGATGAGAACCATCAAATCTTTCAGTGATGACATAGGCATGGAATTTGGATTGGACAAGTGCTCCAAGGCCACCTTCAAGAGAGGGCGACTAGCCAACTCCAGTAACATCGAGCTCGACGTCAGCAACATCATCCAGGAAGGTACCTATAAGCACCTCAGAGTCAGTGAGGGAGACGGAGTCCAGCACTCTCAGATGAGAGAGAAGATCCGGAAAGAGTACTACCGGAGGATCCGGATGGTACTCAAGTCTGAGCTGAACTCCGCAATCAAACTATAGTCCGGTGGCTAAAGGCTCAGATCTATACAGATCGAACAAAAGCACCAAACTTTGCATGGTTGTAGCTTAGGGCATGTTAGTCAATTTTAGGATCGGTGCCCACAGCTACCTCTTCAGGATTTACAGCAACTGCACGATGAAGTTCTTTAACAACGTTCCATGATGGGTGTCCTGTGCCAAAAATTGCAATCTCTTGTTTTTTGCCATTTTTTGATGAAAATCATATAAAAGGCATGTAGAGGGAAAAAGAAACTGTATTACTATTATTATCATTGAACCCAATGACTAAAACAAGTCAACTTTATGATATAGCAGTAATGATATACCATGGTGGGTGCCTTTGCTAAATTATCAATTCCTTGTTTTTACCATTATTTTGATGAAAATCACATGAAAGACATGTAAATGAAAACAAGAAATTGTATTTTTATTAAAACCAATGACAAAAACAAGTCAACTAAATGATATAGCGGGAAAATCCAAGGAAGATGTATTCAGACACGTACTCAGTCCTAAATGGCCTTTCAAGATGGCGGCTTGAAGAGGTATTTACATGGACTGTAAGTAAATTTTAATCAAGAGGTTTGTGTGAAGTTTGAAGCTCTTTTTGGTGATAAATTTGTTATCGAAAGCAACAAGAAAGGAGAAGAAAGGAGAAGCAAGTATGTTGAAGCAGACCAGAAAGAGAAAGACAGGATGTTGTAGATTGTGGCACAAAACGAGTTTCAAGGGCTGACACTAGTGACACCTCAAAGTGTGTGATATGTAAAGAAGGTGATTGGAGCCACCTATACAGTTTCTGTACATTGAAAACCGACAGAAAACCAAGACGTAGCGATTTACAAGACTATGGTATGAATATCTGGTGGAGGTGTGATTGTTATAGTGGCGAGATAGTATCTGTGCGCTATTTAACTGACCTGTGGAATAGGCATACACGTCAGAGGAATGCAAGAAGAAAAGTGAAGCAGCTTTGGAGGCCGAGGAAGACGAAGAATTAAATGAATCAAGAGCATTTGTTGAACTCACTGAATACATAGCTAATGCAGTGGAGAATGATCACATTTCTTTATACTTGCCAAACTTTCGTTACATATCACACACTTTGCAGTCTCACTGGGGTTAGCCTTCCAAGCTCCTTTAGTGCCACAATCTACAACTTGCTGTTTCTGGGGGTCTGCTTCAACATGCTTGTTTCTCTTTTCTTTTGCTTTTTTCTAACTTGGACTTAAAAAACATAAGGTAAATTTCTTCAGTCGCAAGTAACATGGCCATTCGTGAGAAAAAATGGCCTTGAGAACTGACTTTAGCAGCTGCCATTAAGTATGTTCTTTAACAGGTAACCCGTTAAGCTTTATGCTATCCTCTATTTCAACCAGTTTGCCTACAACATAGCACGCACATGCTGTTTGAATTTTTTGAAGGCGTTTAACAATGTGACAAGGAAGATTGTGATAGACAACACAATTATAATACAACTTGGAGAGTACTAGGGCCTGAACTAACTGCTTGTGAATATGGAATGGCAGAAAATTCCTCAACTTCTTTAGGATTGCTAGAGTGCGATAGCAAGAGGCTGACACTTGCTTAACATTTCCTACCCATTTAAGGTGGTGATCAATGTGGGTCCCTAATAGTTTTGTTGTGCATTCACTCCAGTTCATTGCTTTCAACATGTCATCACGTATGCTTAATTATAATAAAACAAATGTAGTAGAATGACTTTTCCTAAATCCAGAGATGTTATCCTCAAGAAGATGGTGGTTTTCCAAAAACTCAACCACTTGGTTGTGAACAAGCCTTTCGTAGACTTTAGACAAAACAGGCAATATAGGGATTGGACGAAAATCATTATTATCCTGAGGGCTATCCACCTTTGGGATTGCAGTTATTCAGGCTCGTTTCCACTTATCTGGAAAGTCACATAATTTAATGAATGAATTAATTATGTCAGTTAAAGCGCTTGCAATATATTCAGCAACAGGCTTTAAAAATTAAGCTGGAATTAGGTCAGGGCCTGTTGATGTGTCAATTCTGACAAACTTTGTGTATTTTCTTCTTTAGGAGGTTTTGCACATCACGGAACTTTTGCCAGATGTCTTGTGCTTTAGTTGCTGTGCTTAATTAACCGTTTATCCCTCAGTAGCTGGGTCTAATATACCTAATATACCTTTATAGCAGTGTATGTCGTTCTATGCACTGCAATACAAGGTCACTAAAAACATCAAGTTTTTCGTTCAGATCCTCCAAGGCATAAACAATACTTACTGGGAGATTAGCACAGTCTTCCACATAAGACTTCTCATAGTACTGACACTCATTACAAATGTATTTAAACTTTGGAGCAAAGTGAGTAACACGTACATCTATGAAAGCATGGGCTGCATCGTGGTCAGTTGAGCAAGGCAGTGTATTGGTAAATTTTGCTCGTAGCGGGCAATTGGAAAAATGTTAAAATCTAATAAGTTATAAATTTCAATTAGTCTAAAATGCATAAAAACTATTTGATTGAAATAAATGTCTGAGGGAAGACTGTTTCACAGTCAAGAGAAGCACATAACTGAAGATGACAGGTAGTAAAAATTTAACGAAGTGTCCTCAACTTCCATTTCTCAGTTTGTCTGGCCACAGGAATCAGACCCATTACCTCCCACTCTGCAACCAAGCGCTCTATTGACTGTTTATGAGCTAATCCTGCCACAGTATTGAATCAAATACCATCAACCTTTGCATTGCTGCCAAATCTGAAACACTTTTTTTGGAAAAAACGCAGAAAATGACCCCGTAACGCAAAGCGCTCAATCTCGACGATCTTACAGAAAACTAGAGGACTGTGAACAGTCTCTGCCTGTGTATGAGCTTGAATTAATACTATACTGCATTTTTTACAGATATTTATAAGAATGACACACCATCACAAAATTTAATATTCAAGTTACTCTCCCACCACCCCACCTATGCAAACAAAAAAGCAGTAAAAGAAGTAACACATTTGCTGAAATCTAATTGACAAACATTTAATTTACCTGTCTTGCAAGGAAGAAAAACTTTCAGCCACATCAGGAATGTCTGATCCCTTCACATATATGTGGTATTTTTTCCTTGTGGCATTCATCTGAAAAAAATGAGCACCAAGTCAGTTCCCCCCTTATAACAACGACACTTACCCCGTAACTGTCTATCACTTATTGAAGATGGTTTAGGGCAAAGTTTAGAATGGATGGATGGATGCTAGCTCTAATTGACCCCCACTAGAAGGCAAAATCCCGAGAAAGCATGCTAGAAGCTCGCGCCTATATAAACGAAAGCACTTACAGTCAAAATATACTAAAATCTTGATTTGCTTGAACAGGGGCCATCAGGAATCGTTGGGTGATAATGACATTTTAGTCCTAAACAATTCCAAACGCCCGCAAGTAAGAAATGGTTAGGATGGTGTAAAACAAAACTTCCCGAAAGGACCCTCATTGTACAATCATGCTTCCATACTCTTATTGAGTTATGTGTGTATTCAGCGACAATATTTAGCTGTTTTAAAAGTATTAGAGCATAACTGAAAATAATTTCTTTGCCTCAATTTACTCTCCTACACTTTCCTACACAAATTACTTTGGGCCATTAATGTATGACTCAGCCCACAAGCAAGTTTCCCTAAGTGAATGAGTGAATCAAGCTACTTACAAGCAGAATGATGGAAGATTACTATACCCCGCAAGTAAAGGCTGCATTTTCGCAGTTTGAGTAAAGTGCATATAGTGGTCCTTTCTGCGTGGCAGCTGATGCAGTGAAAATGTAGACTCTACTCGAAAGGTATTGTAGATGCAATGATTACAGAAATTCACCGGCATAATAAATTATGGTGCTGATGTATAAATGACTAGAACGCGGGTGTGAGAAAATTCTCGTATCAACCTGAATCAGTGCACGGAATCTTGCATTTCCTGCTTTTATCTTACCTATTATATGTAGTATGTGTGAAAATCTTCATTATGATCAATCAGCATATTTCAAAGAGCTACACAACGACCAAGGATACAATTGACCCACAACATACAGAGTGGGGGCAGCTTTAGTATCAACTATTACTAGTTATATCATTCTGATAATATACACATCCCAGGGTGGTGTGTTGACCATTCATCTCACATGCATGGGCCTTTGGCATGGCATGATCACTACAACACCTACATCTTTACTTGTTTCATCATTTGCTACACCTATTACAGTAAAGGCAGCTTCAAAGAAGCAACTAAGGCACAAAATTACTGATGGGTGCAGAAACATAAAAAACAACATTGTTTGACCAGTGCAATAAGGCATGGTGTTGGGAAGTGCTAAGAAGTTAGGAACAAATTTAAATACATCTCATGTACAATAATATAAATACATTTACAGTGTATTACATTTGGAGCCAGGGTAAGTTATTGCATGTACATTTAGTGATAGAACCTCATTACACGGGTGACAAGATCTATGCACACAAGTCCCAGAGCATGATGGATCTTGGTACATGCGCATATCGCACACACTGCTGGCCAGCAAGGTGAAACAAGTGCTCCTTGTTGTTAACTCCGTTAAATTGCATTTAACTGCATTGACTCATGACTCATTTGACTCATTAATACTTTACACTCATTGAGAAGCCCAAGTCATAAAGCATACAGACAAGCAGCTCGACGGTAGGTTAAGGGACCAAACTAGGTTCCCAGTTGGCAACAGAAATTAAAAAAGTATATATAACATATTTAACAATTAATGAATGAGGCTGAGTATCTTATGAAGAATAATGGAGAACGAGGAGGGTGTTATCCGTTGGGGCCGTAGGCCGAGGTGGATATCACCCTCCAAGATCTCCAAAATTCTTCATATGATACGAAAGCCGAATTCAATAATTGTTTTATTCATCAGGGTTGTCACTAAGATTTCAAGTTGCCAGGTAAATACAACAAGTAGGCGGGGAATCAAACAGCTAAGGATTTCTTTTGGTTCTATTTTTCTTCTATTTTCCAATAAAAGTAGCCAGGGGCAACTCACTTAGTAGCCGGGGAAAATCCCCGGCCCCTGGCTCTTAATGACAACCCTGATTCATTCAATATAATTCCTAGTTTAAAAACATAGCTAAAACATGATTACCTCCATCGATGTTACGTTCATCTTCGATGGTGAATG